CTCTCTCTCTCTCTTTTTCTTTCGCCAGGGCTACGGACGAGGGCTGCCCCTCGCCCGCGCGCTTCAAGCGCCCCCGACTGTTGCGGGGTCTTTGGTGAGAGTAAAGACAGTGCGACAACAAGGCAACTTGGCAGCGGAAATTCGAGAAACATGGCGCCTGAACAGGATAAACCAAAAGTGTCTCTCTCTCTCTCTCTCTCTCTCTCTCTCTCTCTCTCTCTCTACCAGGCTTGAGGCTCGGGGTAGGTCGGACCCCTCATCTCGCACGCGAACGCGCGCCTGCATCCTTGCAGGATTTAAACTCTTGGCGGGGGTTTCGCCCCGCCAAGCTTGGCTTTACAAAGCCCTCACGAAAACAGGAAAGCAAGCCCCCAACAGCAAACGCAACTCTCTCTCTCTCTCTCTCTCTCTCTCGCTCGTTTTGCTTTGCTTTGCTAGGGGTAAGAGGAGGTGGCAATCCCACCTTCCCGCGCCCCAGGGCGCATCCCCATCCAAGATTGTCGCCGGATGGGCTCGGCTGTACTAGTACGCGGCTGTGTGGCCGTAGTGAAAGGGGGCGTGTGCCTCCGTGGGGGCAAGTAAACGCATAGCTACAAAACAGCGAAACAAGTACATCACTTGGTGCCCTGTAGAACCTCGTCTGGTTGAAAGGCTGACCCCAAAAGCTTTCGGGGGAAAAAAACATGCCTGGATTAACGGCCCTCCAGTCTTATGTTGGGTCAAGCACACCTCTTGTTTGGTTCACGGAGTGCAAGTATCAAGTGCCCCCTGAAAGCCAATTCCACATGGCTCCCTAACTTTTCAAGGGTGCCCAAAGTTGTAACAGTTGGATCAAATGGTACACGGATAGAGCTTAGCTCCAGGCTTTTGGTTCACTGAAGTCTATGTAACACTTGCTTGCAAAGGTGGTGCCGCCTTAGTTGGTCTTGTCCATCTGGATCGCTGTCTTTACGATCTTCTGTGAGAGTCCCTCGCGTAGCTGCCTCTCCCCTTTCTGCCAGTGTGTTGCCAGTGGTTCGCTCGGCTCGGCTTTGAGGTGATTGAGGTGGTCCTCGTGCGGGCTGGTCGTGTAGTGTGCGCTGGGGTAACTTGTCTCGTCTTGCTGCGGTGGGAAAACTGTTCGAGGATGCCCTTGGTGCCCTTCTCCCATGCATGGGTCCTCGCCGCTTCCACGAGGAGTGTTCGAGCTGCTCCTCCTTGCGCCGTGCTGCCGTGCAGGACGCAATCTGCCGTCAACCTGTCGTGCCCGTCGTGCTTGCCTCCTTGGCCGTTGGGTCCTCCGGTCATGCATCTTGGGCAGCGGCGTATGCCCCCCTGTCATCAGAGACTGTTGTTCCTCAGTCTTTCCTGGAGAACCCTTTGTAGCATAAATTCTTGCACGTGCCAGGTTTTCGCTCGTTCCAGGGTTGTCCGATTCGATTAATGTACTTTTGCTCGTTTCGGGGGAGAATCGTTCGAATTGCCAGATAAGCGCTCGAAAAGAAGAAAAACGCTCAAGCGTTCAAATCTGCAGCTGATGTTCATGATGTATATCTTCGAGACCTTCAATCTGCACGAGCCGCGATCTCAGTTTTTTTCATCTCTTGCGGCGTGCGGTGTCTTGCTTCTTCAGCTGAACATTGTATGCTCCCAGCATCTTTTGCATGGCACGGTATGCCACACTAAGGGCATGCGCACCGCTACGCCTAGCCAGCCTTGCTGCACGACCAATAAAGTCCTCGTCCGACCAACAAGCTTGGTCTTAGTTCGCACATCAAAGTACTATCATATTGTCGAGTTCTGACAGATTGCACGTGTCAACAATTCACACCCAGTGCTACTGAGTGACTGAGAGGATTCATTGCCTTCTCGCCACGGTGTGCAGCATCCCGAAGGGGTATCCTGAGTTCGATATATCGGTGTGGATTAATTGTTTTGTGATCACAAAATGCATTGCAAATCTGCCTGCGACTGTAATTGCCAGAAAGCCACGTAAAGTGTGACTGCATGTGCAGTTTGGGCCTCACCCGGAACAAATTCCAGGCCATCTCGCTGCAGCGTCGAGCCAGCTGGACGTACCAAGCCTCAGATCGGGACTGCAGACCCTTTCGGTACAGGGTCTTTGCCCCAGTACCCCTATAATTTATAACCGAGAAGCGCACATCTCGTCTCCTGCCTTTACGACCAATAAAGTAACTTCAGGGTCCATCCACAAGCCTTCAACATGAAGCAGCCTGAAGTACTTGTTGGAACAGGCCACGGTGTACTTCAGCATCAGAAAGGCTTCCTCAGAGCATTCCTCAGCTATATCTCCAGCAGAAACCACGTACAGACGTGTGATTTCACGCCCATATCCCACCCTAAACCCTAAAACCCTAAACCCTAAACCCGGAAAAAAAAAAACCCTAAATTATCACATAGGCTTTAGGGTTTAGGGCTTTGTATACGTAAAGTCGCACATTATAAATTTCAGCTATAGGTTCCAGCCTGGACAAAAAATCCTCAAGCCACGACGACATGATTGCTGTGTCAGCACCTCTACCGCCTGTGGCTCCCGGGAAGCCAGTATTCCTTGGATAAACCAATTAATGCATGTAGGCCGGATTAAGGGTTTAGGATTTAGGGTTTAGGCCTCATACAAAATCTTGCGTGTGATAATCCCAGGAGCCCCATCATTTTGAAGCCGGACATCGAGAACCCCCGAATGTTCGTAGACTTTTTGTTCGCCGTGCACCACTGGATAAAGTCAGCATAGGCATTCGCGAGTTGTGTTTTCAATGCCCGTCCAGGAAGCAATCCCAGGCGGCACAACATCACGACTCCAGAAGAAACGAAGTCCCGGCCACACCTATAGTTGAATACCCAATAAAACCTAAAGGCTTCAGGCTAAAGGGATTAAGTGCAGATTCGCGGTTCGTATATGCAACCTAGTGACCCGATGTGCCATGTGTGGGCTGGATCCACCAAAGCACGAGATGGATCTCTCAGCCCAGGCACCGTGAACAAGGGCGACCCCGCCCTTTTGAATGGAGTCCGGGTCCTACCCGGAGCGCGCCACGGCGCATCCATTGCAAGGTTGAACCATTCCTTAATTAACGGCTTTGCAAGGTTTTGGTCAGAGGGCCTGCTTGGTGGGATTGCGTGCTCGATCGTAATTCAGCCCAGAAGCTTTACTGCTGCACAAGTGGCATTTGCGTTTGCATTGCCACCCAGTAGTCAACGCCATCGCCTGAAACACGCATGTACACACATGCATGCACACACAGACACAAATTTGTTGCATGCCATGATCACACACGACTTGACAAGGAGTTCCCACCTTTCGCAAGTAGACCCAATCTCCTTTCACACCCACCACGGCAAAGTGCAGCTTGGTAGGCCCGAGAGGAGGGTCGACCTCAACCCATTTCAACAAAATCCTAGTTAATATATGCCATATACGATCGATCATTAATATAATGTTGAAACGAGGGGCCGTAATTCCTTGTTCGTACAACATACGCAGATCTGCAGCGAAAGCCATGTTCAGCTTATCCAGGGTGGCATCATTCCAGTAAAGCTCAGCTGGCACGATGGTGTACAGGAATCGGGTGCAGTAGCTGTGCCTCATGAACTGAGAATCCACCGAATTTCTATACGGTTCAGGGCTCAGGCTTTGGCTAGGGTCTCGTGTATTGAAAGAAATATAGCTTTAAAATCATTCTGCTGTGCAGGATTGAGTGGCCCACTGCTGTTCTTGAACGACACACCTTTAAAAGATATACATGGTTGCACAGCTTCCACCATAACTGGAAGTTTATACTTGCCTCGTCCCTCATCACCATGTATATATAGTGGTACTGTGTGAGTCGTCGGCGGGGTGTTGCACCCGCTCATGATGTGTGTAGGATCGAACACTTTGTGCAGTTGCCAAAAATCCTGAAGCAGTTGTTGCCACTTTGTAGCCGCTTGGATGTCATGTCCACCTAGTACCAGGTAGCTCTGCTCCTTGAGTAGGTACTTCATCCAAGTGCTTGGATAGATAACCGGGTAGGCAACCATCACCTTCTTGAGGACGGGTCGTCTTTTTCGGATTGGAGTGTCGACGAAGTTGATGTTTACAGGCACCGTGACATTCTCACGATGTATAAGCCGATGAAGGTTTCGACACGTGTTCGAACAACTACGTCCAGCAGCTGAAAGCTTGTAAAGTAGGTCCAGCTGTCCTAAGGATTTGGCGTGTGCAACCAACCACAGCTAAGACCCCCAATGCGAACACATATACAGTGCAGCTTGGTGTCGCGAACCACTCCCAATTTTGCACATCAACCTTGCCGTCTCCGATGTCCCTTTGGCAGATTCTGCCTGAGTTAACAATACGATTTATAAGCAAACATCATCAGTGCTACCAGCTAGCCCATCCTGTGCAGCTTCAGAACCCCATTGAAGTATCTCCCCAAGAGATCGCCAGCAGCTTCTTGGTCGAGGTCATGATCTTCTTGCTGGTGGCGAGAGCGTGGGCCTTGCTTCACGGGGACAACAGAAGGTTATTATACAAGGCAGGTTATGGGTTTAGGCTTTAGGGCGTGGGCTTTAGGCCATGGGAAAGGCAAGGAATCCTTAGGGTGCGTTTCTGGAGGGGTCATTTGGAAACTTACGACCCCATATTCAAGGTTTAAAGTTAACGATTAGTACAATATGACCCCCACACTTAAGCTATATATTTTATACTTCCGATTATCAATTAATACCCTAAACCTGGCCGATAAATCCTAAAGAAGCCCTAAACCCTAAATCCTAAACCCGTTCAGTTCTAAACCCGGGTAATATAGTTTAAAATACAAAACCTTATAGCCCTATACCCTAGCTGACGACCTTGCAACTCTCCAAAGCAACCCGAGTGCAGATATCGATCTGTTAATTATATAGATGTTTTTGATAATGCTAGGGGCAGCAGGACAGCTCTAGTTGAACCCAGGCACCACCAGCCAAACGAGAAAGCAAATCGTTGTCCTCCGCACAAGCACCTGGCGAAAGAAACACGGCTGACCCTAATCAGCATGATTGACCAAGCTTCGACTCAGAGTATCTCGATCAAGAGTCTCCTTTTCCACTTCTGCGAGCTCCCCAGGTCTCCACGGTTCGCGCAAATTTACACACATGTGCACACATGTGTCTGTGCTAACGATCGCTATAGCTTTCCTGGCACCTGTGGCACAGCAGAACCGCCATGATGTGTTGTAAATTATAATCATAGCACTGCAGTTTGGCGCCATGCATCACCACAGGGTCCCAACTGATCATCAGACCCAAAAAGGTAAGCTCACTTACGTACGCCTCTTTTTTGAGGCCGGCTTTGAAGAAGCAGCTCTAGCACGCTTGTTGGCGGGGCCCTTAGCCTTAGTCGCCGGCTTTGCCTTGGTGCCCGAAGATCCACCGAGCTTGTTGAGCTTGATGCCCCTGACAGTACAATATATATTCGGTGCGACTCGAAAGAATTGCGAGTTTTCTATAGTATAGCTATAGGATTAGAGACTGCACCTTCCCCGGATCATCAAGGCATTGATAGCCAGGTCGAGGCGAGTGCAGGCTGCGTAGCATTTCAAGAGATCTTCTTTTGTTTTCCTTGCAGGGCAGGGGCTCCGGTACCCTAGTAACTGCAATAGGATGCCAGTCCTCGCTGGCGGGGTACCGGCATCAAGAACAGCATCGGTCTGGAACTGTAGGAGGCGCTTGTACTCCTTCTCCATTTCAGAGATCTTAGGCTTCAGCTCAGTCGACAGCCTTAGTTGGAGAAAGGCCCGGGCCAACAAATTTCGATCAGCCTATAGCATCAATCCATAATGCGACGGCGTTGCTCGACACCACGTTTCGAGCCGCCGCCGCCCATCTTGTCCTTTGGCCCATGGAAGAGTTCTACGTGCATGTTTTATCATGCAAAGCATGCGGTGTTCACACATGTTGCAAACCAGGCCACTGCAAGCTCGGTGGCTTTGTCAACTTTCTTGCCACACATGTCAATGTAAACAGCGAGGACACCTTGTAGGACAGCGATCGCATGGCTGCATGCATACTTGTATGCTAGCTATAAACTGGAATTGTACACCTTTAAGATCAGTTGCTGAACACATCCTGGTTCGCTTGCAGCACAGGTAAGCACTTCTCCTTTGCACTGGTAGCCACCGCAGAAAGTGCCACCCGAGCATGATTTACATCTCCTTCGCCATGCACGTTGGTCCTAGGCACACCATATCACACACATCCCAGCTCGAATACATGAACCTTTCTGCAAGCTGGTCTCGATAAGGCAGCAGTGACACCGACCGTGTCGGAGAGGAGGAAGCCGGAGGTGTCCTGAACTTCAGGATTAAATTAATAGCTAGGGCCGGGTTTAGGGTTTAGGTTTAGGGGAGTTTGGTCGATTGTAACAGGCCTCATGGTCTAATCTATATATATATATATCTATAGATAATTCGGTTCACTTATATATAATATAAAATAACCTACAGATCAATACCTGTTGTTACAAGCTTGGGGTGAACCCTTTCGTCGGCCGAAGTTTTTGAGGTAGCATGGTCACAACCCTGGAAACCCTAAGCCCTAAACCAGCGAGGTGCCCAAAGCCTATAAGTAAACCCAACCTATAATATAAATCTCCGAAAGGGTCACCCAGATGCAGGACGGACTCTCGCGCTTTCCAATTATATGTAGCATATGAAGGATCACTTGATTGGGGGTGGTGATGCTGGGGATGAAGAAGACTCTAATGATGCAGCTAATGATGGTAGTGGCTTCTATGGTTGCTGTGGAACATGGTACTATCACGCACTACAGTTATATGACGGTGATGATGACGGTGAATTGGCACGGTGGCTTAAGATGAAAGCTTCTCGTATGACAACATGATGATTCTACGATATGATGCCTACAGCACATGATGCTATGATCTGATGATGATATGATATATATGTATAATTATATGATCAGGTATGATGTGATATTAGATGATGATGATGATGAGGAGGAGGAGGAGGCGGATATGAGGGGGATGACGATGATACGGCGAGGTTGATGATGATGCATGATGATGGTGACGTTGATATGAGGGCGATGGCATGGTTACCTTGTGAGTTCAGGTTCTCTGCGGTTTATGATGTATGTACTGATGATGAGAGTGATCGGTGACCATAAGAATGGAGGTGATGGTGGAGGTTGTGCCTCACGACTGTGGCATCAGCATAGGCCACGACTGCTGTTCAATTAGGGTTTAGGGTTTAGGGTTTAGGATATTTCGAAACAATCACGAACCCTACGACCCCTCAACCAAAAAAAAGAAGCTCGACCCATAGCCCCTGTTATATATCAAGGGAAACCCACAAACCCTAAGACCCCTTATATATAATACGTATAAAGCGATGTAAGCACCTAGCCCCTATAGTACGTTGTAACATCCTGTCCTCAGCCTCGAAGCTACCCGAGACTCTGGAACGTTGAAGCTGTTCATTGGTGAACTTGAAGGACTCTTTGGTTGGAATCTTCATCTCTTCGAGGCCATGGACAGGGTTTGTCCGCACAAGTCCTTTCGAGGCTGCCCAGCGCTTGGCATTGGCAATCATTTGCCTTAGTGTATGCTTAGTTCGATTATATGCAAGGAGGTCTGCATGGTGCAAATATGATGAATGCTGCAGAATTGTTACTCAGTCCACCCTTGGGCGGCCAATGAGATCTCGTTCTCCCATGCACCCCCCAATTCGTTGAGGGCAGTCTGTGTCGAGATCTTTTCCAGCTCCACTTCTACAGTCTTGAAGTCGCCGTGCTGGGCAAGTAGCTCTCGCAGCTTCTCTCCTGGGTGACACACATGCACATGTGTACGATATGAGATCATGCATGTATGCACGCACATGTAGGCAAACACCCAGCCACCCTACCCTCTAAGATTTCAACATCGATCTGAGTTTCTGCCCTTCGGGTCTTTGAACATTTCCATCGCCTTCTCAGAGCACTTCAGCTCCCCCTTCTTGTTTGGAGTAAAATATCTCTTCATCCTCAGATGCAACTAGAATAAAATCCTGGCGCTCTGTGCAAGGCGAGATCAAACATGCAAGAACTAATAGATCTATAGAGGCACCTCCAGTAAGAACCATCTGAGTATGCAGATCCACGCGAGCTGGCGCTTCCAGATGGGGAGGCCGGTGGAGCACTCTTTGCACGACCCTTCTTAGCAGCCGGTGCGGTTTTAGGCGGCCCCATAGCAGCCCCAGGGAGAGGAGACATAATTGCAGTGGTTGTCAGCGAGGATCCACGGGATGGCAGGGAGGGTGCCGGGCTCTTGTCTCCCACAGCAATAGGAGTTGCTTCGCCGGCTGGCATACCACCGTGAGTTCTCAAACCCGGAAGGAATTTCCCGGCCTTCGCTTCGGAATGCACCAGACCACCAGGGCCTCCTTCGATGCACCAACAACAACAACAAGAACAACAACAGCAGCAACAACAACAACAGCAGTAACAACAACAACAACACCAGCAGCAGCAACAACAACAACAACAACAGCAGCCACAACAACAGCCACAACAACAACAACAACAACAACAGCACAACAACAACAACAACAACAACAACAACCACAACAACCACAACAACCACAACAACCACAACAACCAAAACAACCACAACAACCACAACAACCACAACAACCACAACAACCACAACAACCACAACAA